TCCGTGCTTTTTTAGCCCCGGCTTTTTTTTTTTTTCCCCCTCTCCCCGTCGCCCGTTTTGCTCAATCTTGGAGAATCCTTGGGGTGCTGGGGGAATTGGGGATTTTTTCCTAAGGGGGGGTATCTGGGCATCTCCCCCCCGCGCCTGCTGCCTTGCTCCACCTGCCGTTGCGCCTTTTTCCTTCTTTTCCCCTGTCTGCCTCTCCAAACCCGGGCTGATGTGCTGTGCGAGAGGCTGGAAATGGAAGTGTTGATGCTCTGGCTTTTCCCCTGGATATTTCAGTGTGTTTCGGTGCGGGCGGACTCCATCATCCACATTGGTAAGAGAGGGAGCGGGGGGGTTGGAGAGGGACGCGGTAGATAAATAAATGAAGGGAGCGTCTCGTTTAACCGCGGTAATGTCAGCGGTTGAACCCAACTCCGCGGACAGACGGGAGGAGGGAGGGGAGAAAGGCAGCTGAATCCCCCCCGGTTGCGAAGTTAGGGCGAAATGCCTGTCTGTCCGGGGGGGGGGGGGGGGGGGGGGGCCCCGCGGGGGCCGCCGCTGCGGTCTCCCGTGTGGCTGGGGAGCCTGTGCTCGGACCCGTTTGCGTGGAATGGCTTTCTTCCCTCCCCGCCTCCTCGCCGCCGAAAACGAACAACCGCCCCCAACACCCGAGCGGGAGAGAGGCATAATCTGAACGTGATCGTAGGGAAAACTTTCGGGGAGATAATCCCCTGGTTTCCATCCCCTGTCGTAGCAGGTGTCAGCCGAGCCGGAATGCGGGGGAGGTGGAACTTGGCTGGGAAAGGGTTAGAAAGGCGAGATTTGCAGTGGTTCTGTGCGTGTGTGTCTGTGCGCGCAACTGTTGTGGTTTGAATAAGATCTCATTAAAACCCCTGGGCAGCAAGAAGGCTGGATCAGCAGTGGGAGGAAGAGAGGGATGAATAAGAGGCAAAGGAAAGGCTGATGTGAACTTTTATGGCTTCTGGGAGCAAGGCACAGTGATGTCCGCGGGAAGCCTGGCAAGCAAAAGCGAGGCTCTGCAGTCACCTTTTGGCTGGTGTTGAAAGGTACCAGCAGGAACGAAAATGAGGATGTTTAGGGGCGGAGAGGGGGGAGAGAAGCACTTGTGGAGGATGATGGAGGAGGAGACGGGAGTAGGGCCGGGAAATGAAAAGCCGTAATTCCCACCAGCCTTTTGGGGAGGATGGGAGATAAAAAAAAAAAAGGAGGGGGCCAGGGTGGGAGCGATCCTGGCGAGGGGAGGCTCCACCGAGACGGGAGGAAAGTCCCGTGTCGACCCGGGGCGGGGAAGGGGAGAGGGGGACCAGCCCGGTAACAAGTTTCCCAGCAGGGGCGGCAGCCCCGCGCAGCGGCTCCAGGGCTGGCGGAGGAGGCCCCGGGCGGCGCCGCTCCCCCCCGGGGCCTGGGGGCG